TTTTTTTTTGCTAAAAGTTTCTTTCATTAAAATGTTTGTTTCTTGCAGAAAAAAAATCCTATTTAAATCAGTTGAGTTGATGTCATATTATTTTGGAGTAGCAACCAGGCTAGAATCCATGTCCAAAATATACAGTAAGTAACCACTGTTTTTAAAAAACTAAATATTCTTCCATTTTATATGATTCATTATTGCTGAAAACAAAACAAAAAATCCTGTTGGCAATGAATAACTTCTAGAAGACCTGTAATAAGAGTCCAGAACGGGAAAGAGGAATTAAAAAGATAACTAATCCTCCATGCCACTGAATCATTTCTAATTGAGCTATTGTGGCACTTCTACATCACAGCCATCTGTTGTTTATGATAATTAACAGCCATTTTGATTCATTAGATTTCCCCGTCTCAGTTTGTATCCATAAGCTAAATACTGTTAGAAATAAAAAGAATGCTTTTTATCCCTTCTGGTCTGGCCATTTGAGGATCTTAGTGGAATTCTCTATACTTCTGTATCTTTATGAAAGATAAATCTGGAAATAGCTTGTTTCTTTGCCTCATAGTCCAAATATGTTGCCATTCTAGCTGCTTGCAGTATGTTGCCTCAATAAACTTTGTGAAAAAAAGTTAAACAACAGGATCAATGGATTGTGAAGAATTATATCTAATACTCAGTAAGCTACCTTCATAGATGCAGCAACATCTGAAACAAGTCTAAAAATATTTTTGAAAGCTTCTGGTAAAGGTTTGTTGTGTTGTACATAAGAGAATCTGAGTAAACCATTTTCTCCCTGTTTTCTTGATCTTGGATATGTTGTAAGCTTCTTGACAAGACACCTTCAAGCTACCAGTACATTTCAAGTATTGGAATGCTGGAATTAATTTCTTGTTTGTTTTTAGTTTTTTTTGTTCTGCTTTTGTACTTTTGTTATTTAACTGCTTTTGGATCTCACGCAATCTCCTCCTGATGGTTTCAAGTTTGTCAGCAAAAACCGAGAAATGCTGATTCAGTCAATTTTAAAAAAATAAATTTAATGAAGAATCACATCAGATGAAATATCTGAAGTAAGCATAGTGTTTTGTGTTATCTCCCATTTGAATTGGGGTATCAGCCAAAATTTCCATCTTGCAGAGGGAATACATACTCTCTCACTTGAAGTTTCACTCCCCAGCTTTGTTAAAGCCTTTGTTAAACAGAGAGAAAATTCTCAGAAATTTTTTGGCGTCTTGTTTGAAACATGTGTGACAAAGTTAAAAAAAATCTCAGGAACAAAGTCCAAAATTAATCTACATTTTTATTTCTATAGAAATGTAGATTCTATAGATGTACATAGATATAGGAAGTAAGCAGATAAATTCTTTTTTTTAAAGTTTAGACATGTACTCAGGCAAACTGTCCACACCATTAATCTTATAGAAAATCTTTGATTCTGTCAATAGAATGAAATCTAGAAAGTTTCCTACACCGCATAGAACAACTACAGAATCGTATAAAAAATTAAGGAGAAAGTAGCTCCTATATTTTTGAAGATATTTCAGACATCTTGCCACACTTTGAAGTCTCTATTACAATAATTTCTGGTAAGGTTCCTACCCAGTGTACAATTATTGCCTCGTATCTTTATCAAATATTGGAGCCAAGGTTCTTAAAGCTGCATTGGCTAGACGACATTACCTACAATAATTTGTTCTCCACAATCTGGTTTCATAAAAGAGCATCAACCTTCAGTAATATAAGACTTGTTGATACAATAGCATTCCATACACTCAGCTGATGTCCGCTGATGCACATGAATCCATAGCGTTGGCATTAATGGATGCAGAATAAGCTTCCGATGTGGTTCAAACCAGGTTTTTGATTCATTGGTTGCAGAACTTTACAGTTCCCATAAAATTTACTTGGATTATAATTTATTATTTTAGTTTTCTAGTTGTTTTGTAATATAATTTTGCTAGTTATTAAAATGCAACACAAAACTTGTCAAAGATGTTTCTTATTAACTTTAATTTTTAATTTGGTATTGAAAAATCTGCAATGCTTAGCAAGAAATGCTCTAGTAAGAAAAACTTGTAAAATCAAAGGAATGTATTTAGCGGACTTTTAATACAAACTTTATTATACAGAAGTTATATTGTTGCTTTTTAATCTCTGTCAACAATCTCACCACATTAATACAATTATATGGTAAATATTCTGCTCTATATACAATAAGAAGGTTCAAAAGAATAAAAGAAACAAATTAGGTTTTCTATATTATCCAGAAGCTATTAAATACTTGAGGATTATTTTTTCTAGGAAAATATTGTTTAATCTATAAAAACATTCCAAAAGACATAAGATGGAAGAGAATACTAAGAATTGTGCAAATAATTAATTTTGCATCAAAACCAATAGATATTTGAAAGCTATGCTTATGGTTGTTTCATTAAATAACTTAAATGAATTGATAAATTCCTC